ATTATCTTCTGTGTCTGTGTTAATTGGTTTCCCTTTTCTTTGTTGAAGAGGGTCTGTGCAATCCTTCTGCCTAGTCCGCCATCTTGCCCCGCCTCCCTCCTCAATACCTTTTAATGTCTGATCTAGGACAGAGGGCCAAATTTCTTCACCAGGAGGTCCTGCGATGGCAGAGGGAGAGGAAGAGGAAGAGGAAGAGGGAGACAGATCCTATGGGTTTGTTATTGAGGAAATGCCCCTTTGCAGGACCATAGATGGCCCCAGCTACTTGTGGATGGTGGATGTGTGGGACCCAGGGGCTTGTGTTCAATGCGATTCGGGAATATAGCCCCACTGACGTCACCCAGAGTAATCACTAAGGACAAGGAGAGAGACAAGGTTGAGTGGAGGAGTCAATTGATGGAGAGATTGAGAGATTCATAAGGTTAAGATGTGGGCTGAGGGTTTCCCATAGCTTAAGGCATGGTTAGAGATAGAGACTTCTGTTCTCCTGGTTACTTCAGAGCTGTTCATGCTGCACTCAAATCCTGATTCACCCAAATACTTCTCATGTGAAGGACTAACTGTAATGGTTGTGTCATCTATTGGGCACTTCCTATGCTCCAAGATCTTTACACACATTATCTAATTTAATCTTCACAATAATTATGTAAGCTAGACATTAAAGGCCCCATTTTACTGGTGAAAAACTGAGCCCTTGAGAACTTAGGTAACTTACCCAAAGGAAAACTATTAGTAAGTGGCAAGTTTTTGCTCTTTCTTCTCCAACATACTGCCTTTTAAGAGATACTGGGCTCAGTGCCAGGAATGGAGGCTTCCTTGGGTTTTCAGCCTATCTTGTGACTGCTCCCTTATTACTTTCTTTTGCTGTACATGTGGAAGCCCCAGAGAGTACAATAAAAGTGCCTTCTTGTCAGTTAAAAAAGCCTGAGTGTCTCATATCTGTCTGTAACTACACTGGTGGGTTTGAACCACCAACTTTTTGGTTAGCAGCCAGATGCCTTACCCAGAACTCCTTGTTTATAACTACAGACAACTTTAATAGTTGAAATCTACCTCAACTCAAAAGAATAAATACATATTGCCTCTGATACACAGCCCTGCCTTCTCATACCCATCACTGCTTCTTCCCACAGAGGACATGACTGAAGGGAAGAATGCCATCCTCATCGGGATGAGCCAGTGGAATTCAAATGACCTGGTGGAGCAGATTGAGACCATGGGGAAACTGGAGGAACATCAAGGTGAGGTTCTGTTCTTTGATGACCAGGGTGTGTACATTTGTGTGTCAGAGGGTGGGATGAAGTGCTGACAATTTGGAGATGGGGGTTGGGACTTAGGAATGTCATTGGAGGCTTGTGTGTTGCTATAATGCTTAACAGGCTTCCATGGAGCTTCCAGACTAATACAAATTAGGAAGAAAGGCCTGGATAACAATAGTTTTATCCACAACTCATGATGGAGATGGTACAAGACCAGACAACATTTTGTTCCACTGTGCATGGGGTCACTGAGTTGGGGGCCAACTTGGCAGCAGCTGATGACAGCAGCAATAGCAGTAGCAGCATCGGTAGTTAAGGGAGGTGGCTGGATCCACGCTCCTTGGACTGCCAGGCCTATGGGATTAGAATCTTCTGAATAAAGTAGAGTGGCAACTGGAAGAGCCTTTGAGATGGGGCAGGAGCTGGGGTTCAGGGGGAGAAGGGCAGCAGTAGGAGATTACAACTTGTTTTGCTGAGCCTTTGAAAGAGTGTGGCTGGGGATTAACTCAGGCTTCTTATGGAGGAGAGTTTTGACTTAGGAGCTTGGTTAGCAGACAAAGAAGGCTTACTGTTTTATGTGTGCATCCATCTGTCCATCTTCCCATCACTAGCAGAATATTTGTTCAGCACCTACTGTGTGTAAGTGCTTGACAGGGGCATCAAAGGAGATTCACCTAAGCCTCTGCCTTGTGATGTGTAACACAGTGTAAGTCTGGTTATAAGAGGATCATGTTTAAGCTAAGAGTTGTCAAGGTTGAGGGGAGAGGCAGGACTTTTACAAGGAGGTGGGAGAGGGCATCAAGGAAGGATTCCTGGACAATGGTGCCAGGCCCTGAAAGACAAGTAGAGTATGTGCCTGGCCAAAACCAAAACCAAACTCACTGCCATTGAGTCATTTCCAACTCACAGCTACCCCCATTGGGTTTCCAAGGCTGTAAATCTTTACAGAAGTAAATAGCCCCATCTTCTCTCCATGGAGCAGCTGGTGGGTTTGAACTGCTGACCTTCCAGTTAGCAGTCAAGTCCCTTATCCACTACCTAAGGAGATCATAAAATCTGAGATGACATATGGGGAAACAGGTTCAGAAAGGGAGTGTACTTGATTAAGTTCACTCTTGAGTGAAGAGCAGAATAAGGGTTGGAGCCCTATTTTGGGTGCTAACCTCTATGCCTGGTATCCTGAGGCAAGTTTCTTCTATCTCCCCTCATATAATGGAGAAAATATTGAAGTTGTCAAGGATTTCATTTTACTTGGATCCACAGGGAAGCAGCAGTCAAGAAACCAAATGACGTATTGCATTGGGCAAATCTGCTGCAAAAGATGCCTTTGAAATGTTACAAAGCAAAATATGTCACTTTGAGGATTAAGGTGTACCTGATCCAAGCTGTAGTATTTTCCATTGCCTCATATGAATTCTAAAGCTGGACAATGAATAAGGGAAAACCTAAGAAGAATTGATGCATTTGAATTATGTCGTTGGCGAAGAATATCGACTATACCATGTCCTGCCAGAAGAGTGAACAAATCTGTCTTGGAAGAAGTACAGCTAGAATGCTTCTTACAAGTGAGAATGGTGAGACTTTGTGTCATGTACTTTAGACACGTTAATAGGAGGGACCAGTGCTTGGAGAAGGACATCATGCTTCTGAATGTAAAATGGAGGGTCAGCAAAAAAGAGGAAGACCCTCAATGAGGTGGATTGACACAGTGGCTTCCATGATGGGCTCAAACACAGTAATGATTGAGCAGAGAGCACAGGACTGGGCAGTATTTCGTTCTGTTGTGCACAGAGCAGCTGTGAGTTGGAACTGACTCGATGGCACCTAGCAACAGCCACCAGCTCACATACCATTCCTCCTTCTTTCGGTCTCCTTCATCTTCTCTTCTCCTTCCTCTCTTGGCCCTGTAATCCCTCAGTCATAGTGTGAGACAGAGTTGTTGATTGGGAAAGTCCCTCCTATCAGGAGGTGTTTGGTGAGATTTTCCTGGCCCAGCTCAAGAGATTGGCCTCCTTGGTGGTGGCTGTCTTGGTAGTAGGAGACCCAGGGTGGTACAGATGGTTAAGTGCTTGACTTACTACCTGAAAGGTTGGTGGTTGGTGGTTCAAGCACATCCAGAGGAAGAAAGGTCTGGTGATCTGCTTTTGAAAGTCACAAACTTGAACACCTTATGGAGCACAGTTCTACTCTCCAACACATGGGGCCACCATGAATGAAAGTCTGGGGAGTGGCTGTCTTGCCCCTAGAATCCACTCCTTTTCTCCCCCATCCCTGCCTCCTTGGTTCAGAGCTTTCTCCATGGCAAGGCCCTCATCCTGACAAGTAGGCAGGCTTGGGATAATTGTTCCATTTTACAAATAAAGAACCAGGACTCGGAGAAGCTGTATCTTGCCTGAGGTCCCTCAAGTTGGTGTCGGCATTAGGCCCAGATCCCTAGTCTCTTGAATCATAAGCTGTAGGGCTTTGTCTCCCAAACTTTCTCTTCCCTAGTCCAGTGGATTGACGCTAGACAACAAAGTCAGGCCCAAGAAACCCAGAGTCCTTAAGGAAAGGCCCCTGGCCGCCATCACATCCACTGGAAGGGTGAGCTTTGAGTCCATTCTCCAGGGCCAGGGCCAGGGCCAGGGCCAGGGCCAGGGACCATTTCCCAGTTTTCATAGTCTCACTTTTGAAGATGGCCCTTTTTTCTGCTCTTTTCTTCCTCCCAGAGACCCCAGAGGTGACCCAGAAGGAGTTGTGGATTTCAGGTCCTGCCCCAGAATCATACTTGGCAGTCATGAAAAGACAAACCCAAACTAGTAATCACCATCCATCTGGTCACCTCCTTCCTACCGCCACCCCTACTTGTCTGCCCAAGAATGTATGAGTCAGACACACTGTGAGCTAAGGAGGGAGGGAGGAAGAGTCAGAGTGAGCAGGGAGGGAAGGGAGCTGGCTGTGGAGGACAGAGGAGAAGGAGCAGGAGGCCGATGGTAGAGCCAGAATGAGTGGTTTTGGAGTCTGAGAAGTCTGGGTTTGAACCTTGACTCTGCCATCCCATGGCTTGTGGCCCAGGATCATCACTTCATCTTTCTGAGCCCTAGTTTTTTCATCTATAGAATGGAGCTAATAAAAAGGTTAAGAGGATTAAATGAGATAATATTTGCAAAGTGCTTGCCCCTTAGTAGGCATTCAGTAAAATCAAACTCAGTGCCATCAAGTCAATTCCAACTCATAGCAACCCCCACTGGGTTTCTGTGGCAGTAAATCTTTACAGATGTAGACTGCCCCATCTTCCTTTTGCAGAGTGGCTGGTGGGTTTGAACCACCAACCTTCTGGTTAGCAGTCAAATGCCTTAGGCACTATGCCACCAGAGCTCCTTAGGCATTCAATAACAGGTAATTCTTGTAATGATTTGGGGCAGTGGTGGTTCAATGGTAGAATTCTTGGCTTCCATGTGGGGGTCCTGGGTTTGATTCCTGGTCAGTGCACCTCGTGTGTAGCCACTGCCTGTCAGTAGAGGCTTGTGTGTTGCTCTGTAGCTGAACAGGTTTCAATGGTGCTTCCAGACTAAGATAGAATAGGAAAAAAGACCTGGTGATCTACTTCCAAAAATCAGTCAGTAAAAATGCTATGATCTGGTCACAGGGGACATCAAGCTCAATCAGCACAACATAGTATACAAAAACCTTATTCTACATCCTACTTTGGTCAGTAGTGACTGGGGTCTTAAAAGCTTGTGAGTAGCCGTCTGAGATGCAGCAATTTGTCCCTCCTTGTCTGGAGCAGAGAAGAGTGAAGAATATCAAAGATGGAAATGATTAGTCCAAGGGACCAGTGAACCACACGAACCTCAGCCTACGTGACCCTGAGACCAGAACTAGACGGTACACAGCTACCAATGCCAACCACTTGGAAAGGGATCAAAATTGGAGATCCTTGATAGAGCGGGAGAAAAAATGTGGAAGAAAATTCAGAAACATGAAAGAGACCAGGATGACTGGTTATACAGAGACTGTGAAACCCTCGAGACTATGGTCCTGAGTTATCCATTCGGGCCTGGAATTGGACTCACTCCCATTGCTCAACTCTCAGCCAAAAAAATAGACCATCCTGAACAACTGTACCATGTACTCCCTAGAACAGTCAACCAAGGGAAATCAGAAGGGCAACATTTGCACACAGAGAAAGCTAGGCAGGCAGGAAACGTGTAGGTAAAAAGGACACAGGGTAGGGTTAACCACATGGAGGAGGTGGGAGGAGAGCTGTTACATTGTGGGGATTGTAATCAGTGTCATAAAATGAAATGTGTGTGAACTGTTGAATGTAAAATGAATCTGCTTTGTAAAATTGCACTGAAATCACAATAAAAAGTTAAACAAAACACAACCCTGTGGTCATTGTTTAGGAGGCAGTGAGTTTCTGTTTATGATGAAGGGAAATTTGGCAATGATTATGGGTGATGGTTATAAGACATGGTTAATGTAATTGATATCACTAAATCATGCACCTGAAAAATGTCGAATGGGCAAATGTTATGTTGTGTTCATTTTTACAATAATAAAAAAAGAAAAACAACAACAAAAAAAAACCTATAGTTCACAATGGTCTGCTCTGTGACCCATTGTGGGGACGGTGCAGGATCGAGCAGCATTCTGCTCCACTGTGCGTGGAGTTGCCATGGATCAAGGGATGATTTGACGGCAGCCAGGAACAACAGCAACAACAGCAGCAGCAACATAATGATTGAAGAGGGAGAGAAGAATGAGAACTCTTGCACAAGTACAACCTTAAACGCTTCAGGATGCTTCTGAGAGACCAATTAGGGGCAGTGCCTGTCTGAGTTGGAGAGTTGATGCTGTTTTCTTTCACTACAGAACAGGAAGCAGGAGGGAGAGGGGGAACAGGAGTGAAGAAGAGGAAACAGCTGGGTTTCTAGCTCCTTCCGAGTCCCATTCCTCTGTGGATTCATAATGTGAATTCCCATAACACAACAGAACAC